ATATATATATATTGTTTTTGCATTTGCAACAATTATGACCAAAATAGGCCAACAAAAGTAATCTTTTCATTTTAGTTGACTTGTACAGATCACTTGTAGATCTTCCCCTTGAGGTTTTATGGCCTACATGGCGCCGCTCACACCAACTTTATGAACCACTTATCTGGAGGAGTTCATGATCGACTCAACGGCTGCAAGGTGTCCAGCTCCTGTGGCTGCAGAACAAGCCCACTGTGTTTGACAGTTCACTTGAGTAGCTATAAATTGTGCACTGTTTGTTTCTTGTCAAATGTGATATGCTTTATGGTTGAGCATATTCATTTGAATCTTTTGGTCCAAATGTCATCTACTTTATTCATATGCAGCCTAACAAAACTAAACACAACTGTTATGTTTTTATAAAAAGATGAGAATTTCTTCAAGCAAGCAAACAAGACTAAACAAGTCCTTTTTTTTTCTTTTCTTTTCTTTTACTGTACTGTCACAGAATTTAACATTGCAAACGTTAACTGAGGCCTGAAGGGTCTGAAATGTAGATCCTGAGGTCTTTTACTGCTGTTTCTCAGAGCATTGCTCATTCTGACCTCAAGCTGAACTTGCGGGGACATCCAAACCTGGGAATAATGTTGTTGTGATTGCTTTCCGCTTGCGAATAATCTTCATCATGGAAAACTGCTCAATACCAGTTTGTCTGGAGATGGCTTTGTAACCCTTTCCAAATTAATGGGTGGCAACAACTGGTTGTTCAAAATGAGCTGGCCATTCCAGCTTTATTTAAAAAAAAACATGGTGAAACAAAATAGTGTTTGTTTCGATTAGAGTGCAAAACGAGCCTAACAAAATAGAATAATATATTGCTAAAGCCATAAAGTGCGACAGATATTTTAGTATAAAAATAGAAAATTGTTTTGGAGGTAATGGTCCAGTCAAATGATTTTCTAACCCGTATCATCCAGACCTAGAAATGATCAAAATGTGTTCTTAAAAAGTCCTCATACAAACAAGATTAGTTTCTTTGCTGATGTAGAAGATTTGTCCACACTGTTTTTTATCTTTGGCTCAGTTTATGGTGGCGCAGAGGTTAGAGAAGATGGGCCTGTGATCGGAAAGTCGCAGGTTCAACTCCCGGTACCGTTAACATCAAAATGTGGGTGGAAAAGGTGAAACGCCCACACCTGCCTCCACCCTCATTTGCCCCACTCTGGGCCCCTCAGCAAGGCCTTTAACCCCCACCATCTGCTCCCAAAAACAGGTCTGTCTTGAAAATGAGTTCTAGTGACTCAATGAGACTACCTGTGTAAATAAAGGGTAAATGGGGAGGAAAAAAAAGATATTTCAGTGAAAATGTTGTATTTATCTGTTAATATCCCATTTACAAGATTAAAGGCAATATAACATGCATAATATACAATTTAACATCACGACAGGGAGCGTTTTATTTAAGAAAAATAGATGATATAAGAACGTGTTGCTTTAAGGGTTTGTATTGACACATTTAAGGGTTTATTTAGCTAATGTTGAGAAATTTACTGCTACACATTAAATGGTAAACTCAACGAAACAGGAATTGGGAATACGTAATCTTAATTATGACTGCAGGCACCGTTTCACTCGTCCATCTCTGTGACTCAGTTAAGCTTTTAGTATACGTATATTGTTTTTAAGGCCATTAAGTTCTTTGGGTTTTTACCTTTTTTGTTGTTGTTTGTGCTTCAGTTACAGAAAATTAGCACTGAAATGGCATCCAGATAAAAACCCAGACAACAAGGAGGAGGCAGAGAAAAAGTTCAAAGAGCTGTCAGAGGCATATGAAGTCCTGTCAGATGGTAAGCTTTCACCAGACAAATTGTATCAAGTGTACTATTTACAAATCACTTGAAATATATTTTATCAAAGCGTTTTTCTAATTTCAACCATTTTAATATTTCCTGTTATTTTAGGCTGTTGTTCAATGAGTTTGTGTGACAATCAGCAAATTAAACTGTTACAGTAGGACAAAGTGTGATGTCTTTAAATGTGTAGTTTTATTTCTAGGATCAATACAAATACTTATTGTGCAGAATGGCAAGTGTCTGTATTTATTAATCATGACATAATTTTCCATAGTCATTGTGCCATTAAGATGGAGCCATTGTCAGCAGTTTCTGTTAAATTACTTGGTGCATTGTCATGATTTGGTGAGATGACTTTAACTTTGTGCTGTAAAAGTGATAAAACCTTAACCGATGAACAGTTTTTGCTGAAATTAAGTTTTATTCAAGATAAAGTTCTCACACCATCCTGAATAAGCAGGATAAATGTGAAAAATTAACATTTTAATAAAACAAATTAATATTTGGTTACAAGGAAAACATTTGGTTTAAAGAGATTACACGACTTTTGCCTAAATGGGTAGATTTCAATAATTGCCTTGAATATTCTTGAAGTGATGTTCTTGTGTTTATTAAATTATGTACATGATTTGAAATTTACAGCTGACTTTTTTTTTTTAAATGAAGGTACCATTTGGAAAGGATTTGTTAATTTATTATCAAAATACCAGTAGTAATGAAATGCAGGGTACATTTTTCTGTGACATTAAAAGGGACTTTTGCTATCTTACTTGTGATTTATAATCCAAAAGCAAGGGGATTTGTTTTTGTGTATTTTACTGGTTTGTCTTTTCTCAAATAATTTTCATTCTGCGTCCCAGAAAACAAAAGGAGTCTTTATGACCGATATGGAAAAGAAGGCCTTTCAGGTGTAGGAGGAGGAGGAGGAGGAGGAGGTAAGGGAATGATTTTTAAAAACGGTTTCACGTTTTTTAGTGTAATGGAAACGGCGGATCGAGTTAAACTGTCAGAAATTATAACAAATGACAAGTATTAAAAATGTATTTGCTTTTGAATTTATGGCTAGATTTAGAAGCAGACAGGTTTTACAGCTTGACATGTTGATTTTAGTAATTAAATAGCTTGATGGTCCTTTTTGTTGTTAAAAAAATACTTTTTTTTCTTTAATTATGTACAGGAGGCCACTTTGATCACTTTGGTGGTGGCGGCTTCACATTCCGTAATCCTGATGACGTTTTCAGGGAATTTTTTGGTGGTAGAGACCCATTTGCAGATTTATTTGGTAAGTGTGTCTTATTCTTGCACGTGCTCTCACGGACACTGATGTTGTTTTCAGAAATGGGAAGGAGGCTGAGGAGAGTGGGGGAGTGTGCTGTAGCTATTATTATCTGGTCAGAAATACACCCCAGTGTCCTGGAAACGCTAAGAAGAGTCACAGAATAAGAAATCTAAAAAAGTTCAGTCTGTTTTTATTTTGCTTTGTTTCCAAAATAGGTTGTCAGGTAGCTTTTTGTGTGCTGTTTGAACACAAATGATGGGGCATTAAACCATCACAACAATTTAATGTAAATCTCTCCACAGTAATCTGCCAGTAATATTTTCTGTGGAGAATTGTTAGCTTCATTATGTAGAATCACTAAATAAACAAGGATTTGAACTTTTCATTTCTTCACATAACCCTGAGCATAAATTCAAAGGTATTTGAAGGAAAAAGTATATCCTTATATATGTTGTCTTAAACCCATTAAAATAAAAAAGTTAAAATATAACAAACGTTTCCTGCAAGAGCTGAGAACTCGCATCTGTGTTGTGTGTGATTCAAGGATTCAAAGTTCTTTATTGTCATTCGAATCACATGTGCTACATGAAATTGTGTACACAGGGTCCCAGTTACAAACCGGATTCCAAAAAAGTTGGGACACTAAACAAATTGTGAATAAAAACTGAATGAATTGATGTGGAGATGGCAAATGTCAATATTTTATTCGTAATATAACATCGATGACGGATCAAAAGTTTAATCTGAGTAAATGTAACATTTTAAAGGAAAAATATGTTGCTTCAAAATTTCACAGTGTCAACAAATCCCAAAAAAGTTAGGACAAGTAACAATATGTGGCTGGCAAAAGGAAATTGAGCATAAAACGAACAGCTGGAAGACCAATTAACACTAATTAGGTCAATTGACAACATGATTGGGTATAAAAAGAGCTTCTCAGAGTGTCAGTGTCTCTCAGAAGCCAAGATGGTAAGAGGATCACCAATTCCACCATTGTTGC